AATATCCAAGATTGATAATTTCATTTGCCCAGCTTGTGCCCAGTGTCAATACTGGGCTTAGTTAACTGTACCATCATACCTGACAGGAGACCAGTCATGGTAAGAAAATAGGGAAGGAGGGCATTGTAAGCTGGAATGAAACCCCCAAAATGTGTTTAGTTTGAAGAGTTCAGATAAGTACATAATTCAATGTGGAGGACATTATCAACAATATGGATAGGAATGAAAACTTCTGGTTGAAAATTTGGCAATGGTGAACATAAGTATAAATAAACTTTTGTCCAAGAAATTGCATTTTTAAGAAATTCTGAAACAAAGGTATAGGTATAAGCTATAAGGATGTTAATCACACCTTATTTAGAGCAAAAAAAGAAGCCAACAATGGGCTTCTAAAAATGATAGCAGATCCAGACTGTTGTTGGTTAAAATGATACTAAGAATTCAATATAAGGTGGGATTTTTTTTTTTTTTTTTCAGTAAGAAAAGTAAAGTAAGTTTGGAGAATATTTATATGGCCCCAGACTAAAGGTCTCATTTAAGTATCCAAAGTATTTATCTCGATATAAACAATTGTTAATTATAATTTTTTATTTATTATCCTAGGAATGCCTATATACATATCAGAGCATTTCAAAACCACAAATTATATTGCTCATTTAGTTAATATAATCGTTTTGGGAAAAGTATACATTTGCTTAAGTTATATGTGAATCCCTTAGCCTTTTGTGAATTTATCCATTACCCTATATATCAGTTAGTCTAAAAGGTCCGAACTTTTTTCAGGTCTACATATCTTAGTGCAATATGGCTCAAATAACAGTTTTGACTCTAAAATTTTGAAATTCAAATTCATTTTGAAGCTTAGGCTCTTTACCAATCCTATGATCAAGACAGTATCTCTCTGAGGAGATGAAAGACAAAATCAGAGAATTCAGAAATATATGTTTATTGGGGAGGGTGGGCAGGATATTTAGGCAAAAGCAAGAGGCTATATAAAGTTCCAGAGACAGGAAGAAAAAAAATATATGATTGGCATGTAAACCCAAAGTGAAAAAATAATCCATTAGTTCATAGTGGTAGGTATAAATGATTAGATATATAAATAAGTAACGATGAATATCTGATGCAGAAGAATTCCAAATAATTTATATCAATACTTTGCTTTTAAGGAAGTGAAGCAGAACTCTCCATTATTTAAGGGCAGGCTGTGTGTAGTGGCCTCCTTCTAAAGATAACAGTACGGAAAGAGAAGGGGAAAAAAACAGAGACAACCTACAGTGGAAAAACATGACTAACACTACCTCAACCCAGGGGATCGGGTTTAAATCTGCACCCATATGTTATACTGATAGTATGCACTCTTGATGTGATGTGAAGAATATGGCACTTACCTCTGTGGTCTTCCTCCCCAAAAACCCATAGTCTCAGACTAACCATGACAAAAACATCAAACTAAAATACCTGAGCAGTATTCCTCAAAAATCTCACGGAAAGTCTGACAAACTGTGTCAGCCAAGAGGAGTCTTGGTAGGTATGACTATTAATACAGTATTACCCTGGATGGCATACTGAGAACAGAAAAAGGACATGAGGGGGAAACTGAGGAAATTTTAATAGAATAGTGACTTAAATTGATAACAGTGTATCAATATTGGTCCATCAATTGTGACAGTTGTACCATATTAGTGCCAGATAATAATAGAAGAAACTGGGTGTGGTGTATGCATGAACTCTCTGTACTATCTTCATGATAATTCTGTAAAACTATAAAACTGTCCTATACATTATATTAAAAATGGCATTTAAGAGAAACTAAAAGAAGGAAACTGTGGGAATGAAGCATCTTATGAGAGATATACTGAGAGATGTGAGTTCAAAGATGATTTACTGACTGCCTTCCTTTGGGACCACGGCTGTGCAGGAAGCACTGTGGTCCTCATCCTCCTGGAGCTTAAACATTTCTAGTGGGATGGTGGGACAATAAGCCATTAAGCCGATAAATGAAGAACACATAGTGATTGTTCCTGTGAAGGAAATAGGCAAAACCCCTATCTGTAAGCTTTATAGTGACCCAAATGTTATTCCCTTTTTAGTATTGCCCCCACCTGCAGCCCATCCCTCAGCCCTAACTACAGAGCTCGCTTGTCAACTCTGACAGTCTGGGATATCTGTAACTGGCCAGTGTGTTTGCAGATGCTGATATGGTAAATAAATTCCTAGTTGTCTCTGGGTGTGTTCACGTGTGGTTTTTTTTTCTTTATTATGTTCAGTTAGCCACTGTATAGTATAACATTAGTTTTTGATGTAATGTTCAATGATTCATCAGTTGCGTACAACACCCAGTACTCATCACAGCACGTTCCCTCCTCAATACCCATCACCCGGCTACCCCCTCCCCCACCCCCCCCGAAACTCTCAGTTTGTTTCCCAGAGTCCATAGTCTCTCACAGTTTGTCTTCCTCTCTGATGTCTCCCCCTTCAGTTTTCCCTCCCTTCCCCCTATGGTCCTCCATGCTATTCCTTATGTTCCACATATGAGTAAAACCATATGATAATTGTCTTTTAAAATAGAGCTACCCTACGACCCAGCAATTACACTATTAGGTATTTACCCCAAAGATACAGATGTAGTGAATTTTACCTCAATGTTCATAGCAGCAATGTCCACAATAGCCAAACTATGGAAGGAGCTGAGATGCCCTTCAACAGATGAATGGATGAAGAAGATGTGGTTCATATATACAATGGAATATTACTCAGCCATCAGAAAGGATGAATACCCACCATTTGCACTGACATGGATGGAACTGGAGGGATTATGCTAAGTGAAATAAGTCAAGCAGAGAAAAACAATTATCACGTGTGTTTGTTTTAAACAGGGTGGGAGGGGCTGGTACTATGGGGCCTCATTATAGTTTGGGAAAACAAGCACAGAAATGAAATTGTGACAAACCTGAAGATAAAGCAAATGTGAATGGTAATTTTTTCCTCTACAGAGACAAAAGAGATGTGTGAAATGTGGGGTTTTTTTTTCATTCTTACTACTTCTCTAGGATGTATTTTACTCTTCCACTCTTTCTAGCATATTTTAATAATATATATTTTAGAAGCATAGCCACATAGTCTAAAAAATGTTCACTTTTTTTTTCTTTTAGAAGGATTTTTCTTACCCTGTAAGAGCATTGGATTCTGAAGGTCCATGAATCAAGACTGGGGGAATGAAAGGAAGCTACCTAAACTGGGCAGACTGGGAAAATCAACCACAGCTTTCAGTTCACTGTGAGACATCATAGCCTCCCATCTATGTCTAGCTGCTTTTAAGATATTTCAGTTTGTTGATTGAGATAAAAGCAGGATTTCGTTTTCATTTTTTTAAACTTAGTTTTTGTTTGAAACTTAGCTCTACATAATCAAGTTGTGCTTTCCTAAAAATTTTTGTGTTTTAAAATTTAGTTTTGCATAATCCATAATATAAAGCAAATTTGCTTAAAGACATAATTTTTGAAAAATTATTAGTGGACTTTTTGTAATTTTTTCATGATTGCTCTCTCATTTGATAAGTGTGTTACAGTTCTCTTTAGAATTCTCACGTTGAATAACGATAAATAAAGTGAGCATTCAGTTTCAGAGATACACCAATCCAATAAATTATTGTGTAAATCTGAGTTTGGATTTGAATTGATCTTATGTTTAAATTTTGTTGTCATTTCATTCATTTTGCTTCATTTCTAAGGCCAATGAGGTCACAAGCCATACCAAAGAGACTGAAGCTTCTGAGTGTCATACCTCTTTTGGACTTGAGACCATGGAGCTTCTAGAGCTATTTAGATTGAAGAGAATTTGATAGAAAGCACTGTTTCATCTTTGAAAGTGTTAATTGCATAATTCCAGAGTCATAAGGACTCTGGGAGCAGGACAAATTTTCTAAGGGTGACCAACCATAAGTAAACATCCTGGTGAGGAAGTTCTTATGATTATTAACCCCCAGGTTAGAGGGCAACATTGGTTCAATGATTGTAGAACAATGAAAAATAGAAAAAATAAGACCACTATTTAAAATATTTTGGAAAATATACCTTTCATAGGTATTCAGTTTGAAAGAAGGAATGAGTTAGAATGAGAATAAGAGGCTTGTAGTTATAGCTATTTCAAAATGCTTTTATACAAAGAATAATATCTGATTCACCCAATTTAATTTCTATAGAAGAAAAGGAAAAGCCATAGAGCAGACATCTGAGGATTATCTTACCAGCATCCACCCATTCTCTTCTCAGAACTTCTCCTTTATTTATTTATTTATTTATTTATTTATTTATTTTTATAAAGTGGGTATTTTATTTATTTGTACTTAAACCTATAAACCAATCAGCCAAACGGGTACTATTATCATGATACATTAAAATACAAAACATCTTTCTACAAATCCTAGAATAATGAACAAATTAACAGTGCTAGTAAAACATCACAAGGGAC